GATTTGTCCGCAGTTTACAAGTCAATACAAATTAACACTTTGTGACTGTGCTGATAACTGTAGGAAAAGAGAAATGTACTCGGAAATCGTGAAGATAGTACTGTTCTTTTTTCTGTTCCAGCACAGGATGCTTCGACATAAAGACTATTTTCTGTAATCTATGCCCAGTGGACCAGTGAGAGAAAACAACTTAGTTTAGATTCACTCAAGTCAGTTTCACATGTTATAATGTTGTGTTATAAGAGAATCCAAGGGTTATGTGTGCAATGAACTTTTACTTTTTGTCCTAATCACTTTCTCATTTTCTCCTACTTACTTGTTTTTCATTTCCTTTCTTCCTGCTAAAACAGACAGACAGACAGACAGACAGACAGACAGACAGACAGACAGACAGACAGACAGACAGACAGACAGACAGACAGACAGACAGACAGACAGACAGACAGACAGACAGACAGACAGACAGACAGACAGACAGACAGACAGACAGACAGACAGACAGACAGACAGACAGACAGACAGACAGACAGACAGACAGACAGACAGACAGACAGACAGACAGACAGACAGACAGACAGACAGACAGACAGACAGACAGACAGACAGACAGACAGACAGACAGACAGACAGACAGACAGACAGACAGACAGACAGACAGACAGACAGACAGACAGACAGACAGATAGATAGATAGATAGATAGATAGATAGATAGATAGATAGATAGATAGATAGATAAAAATCCTTTATGGCAGACATTTGTTGCGAATAAGTAAAGCAGAGACGCACCCTTTTCCACGTCTTCAACCGAATTGGGCATATAGGGCTAGACCTTTATTTTATAGACCGATCTTACCTGGATGTGTGATTTCTTCTTCAATTGTTCCTGTTGTCATTTTCTCTCTATTTGATATTATCTTCATATTTGGTGACTAGTCCTTACAAGGACATTTTTTAAAATGATTTTGACTTTCTTTCCATTCTCTTATTTCTGTTTTTGTTCTCTTCATCACATTGACTCACTGACTTTCTACCCCACCAGGACATCACACAAGCGGTAAACACCCGATGACACAAAGTGCCACCATGGGGATGAAGATCACTGTGGAAAGGTCGCAAAAACCGCGTTCAGCCAATTGGCCATATTTAATAGCCTGGTTATATTGCGGCCACTGACAAAAGCCAGGGTGGGGCTTCAAATAACGAAAAATTTCATTCTGAAAAGGACGGCATATATTAGTGATATTTTTAGAGTTAAATTATTACATCGCATCTCGCTCGGTCTTATACCTATCGCTAAGGGACATTTGTACAAAGGAGTCTTCTTATAAACGGGACCTAACCCAGTAAATCTATAAACTAAGTCGTGTGTGTATTACTTCCCTTCTAATAATTTAGGGTTAATTCAACGGATTATGAAGATCAATACTGAAAAGACAGAAGTCATGAGCATAAGTAGAGAGCAACAGACCATCGACATAAAGATTATAGATCACAGCCTAAAACAAGTGCAAGAATTTAAATACTTGGGAAGTATCTTTACATTCAATGGTAAAATAGACAGAGAGATCGAAGCAAGAATCCAACAAGCCAACAATGTCGCATACCAGCTTTCCCCAATTTTAAAACACCCTGCTGTCCCAGCTGAGATAAAAAGACAAATTATAAATACAATCTTTATACCGACATTAGGTTATCAATGTCAGACTTAAACATTAACAAAAGAACACGAGAGAAGACTAACAACCTGTGAAATGAGATGTTTGAGAATGGCTGCGAATAAAACCAGAAGAGATCGAGTGAGAAACGATGTGATTACAAGAACTATTGGAACCATACCCATCGTTAAATTTATTGAGAAGCAAAGAATGAAATGGTTTGGTCACCTAATGAGAATGGAACCAACGATGCCAGCATCAAGAGCATACAACATGAAAAGACCAAGAAGAATATGGATTGAAGGAGTCACGGACAACTTGAAACTTCATAACATCACGGCATATGAAGCGACTGAGCGCGCCCTGGCTCGGTTGCCGATCATCTGATAGACTGCGACGCCTAGCGGCACAAGCAACTTTTGACAAAAGAAGAATTCAATGGATCAACATCATGGCACACGGGTGTAAACCCAGATGTGCTCCTTTCTGCATTTAACCCAAGCCTGAGTCTGAAGAATCTCAGCACAGTGCACGAACTCCATTGCACAGGCCAGGATCCTGAAATACTTTCGGTTGATTTTTAAGACTTTTATTTCCCTTTAAACGTTTCGCGTTAAAAAAAATAATAAAGAGAAATGTATTAATTGCCACACATAGAAAGAAGTATGCAGGTGTGATCTTCTGTCTTTCTACTTTTTTCTATGAGTGCCAACCAATACTCAAGGGTTCCTCCTCTGATTATTTATATGAATTAACATTTTGCTGAATGTAATTTATGAGCAGTTCCAAGCGTTCAACTTAAGCCATAGCCCAGGTGGCTAGACCTGGTTGGTGTGTCCGTTACGTGTGTCCCAACTGTAACTTTTTTGGAGATTGAACGCTGTATTAAGTATTTACCTTGTGGGTCTGCTTCCAGATTGCGATTTTTTTAAAATTCGGATGATAGAGTAAACCTTTAGGTAGCAGAAGGGAGAGGACAAAATGATCGATAGCTCTATTGCAGATCATGTGCTGGAATCAGCATCGAAGAAGAGTCTTGAGAAAATGGCCGCGACTTCCATGCAGCCTTAGTCTAGATAAGTGTCGCCTGCAAATCACGCACTGAAATACACCAACACTGAATGATGCAAATACTGGGTAAGAAATAGTTTCGTATTGTTATTTTCTTAGGAGATTAGCTCCAAGGAGGATTCGCAGCCAAGCAGTCAAAGAAGCAGGACGTGTATGTCCAAGTGCTGTGGATATTAGCAGAAGATTGATTCTAGAAGCCACAGTAAAGAACAGCCTATTGTCAGGGACATACTGAATGGCAAATAAATATAAAAATACATTAAAAATAATACGAAATGTATCAATATTGTTAAATGTTGAATAGGTAATCGACACCTCAGCACTCGGGACACTCCCGTAAACGCTCTGTCCACATCTTCAGCAGCAAGTGAATAGTTCCAATCCCGATGGAACCAGTAACAGAAGTGGTCGAACGACCAGAACTGTATGCTGTAGTTTACAGACGGTGAACGCATAGAGAAAGAAAGAGGTGCCACATGCTGAGCGGTAGACCACAAGTTATCACTCACCGCGGCGCTTGGCAGCTTAAGCAGAAGAAACAAATGCTTTCAATGTTGATGATGATGATGATGACGACGATGTCAATGCTGATGGTGATTCTGTGTGTGTGTGCGTGTGTGTGTGTCCCCGTGCATCGTGACTCTTGATAATAACATTTAAAAAACACGGACATTTTTTGCAGAATTAATGTGGAAAGAACCGTTTGATAAATACAGTTTCACTAAGGGAGGCTAATCATTATCTGTCCGAGAACATCCGGTAAAGTGCAGCAGGGAAGTCGTGACCCAGGTCGGCCCACCTTCCGAGATTGTATAGGAATGGTAACGGGCCGAAACAATCGTCGACGAGGGATCTTTCTACTGATGATTAGTGAACTCCTGCTGTACATGCTCCCCTGTGGAGTTCGTCTTATTAAACAAGGCATTCTGATAAAGGTTAAACCAAACACAGACCCAGAGTTCCTCCTATTATCCATGCCGTATGAGGCTGGTCATCAGGCTTCTATATAGCTCTCCGTCTTGAATAGTGTCAGTTTTTGTTATGTAAAGAAGGATTCCACGTCGACCACTGCCGGGCTTCAGCTTCTAAAGAAGGCGGTAACCAGACTGTCCAGTTTGCTGTGTCCTGACACCTGCTTGCTGTTTCTCCGCTCCGGGATTTTGCCCAGAGGTTTCACACTCTGAGACTGCAAAATCTCACCAGATAAATCAGTGGAAGAATTAACAAGTTGCCGGATACTTGAAAAAGTTGAATAGGTGTTCGCCAGCAAAAGACTTGACAGGTCGACCCAGATGGAAAAAGTTGGAAAGGTGTCTCATAGTGAAAGATTTGACACACATATACACACACGTGCGCACTCACACACACACGCACGTACCCACACACACATGCACGTACGCGCACACCACACACACACACACACACAAACTGTTGGGAAAAGACAAGTTGCTCGAATTTAAAAAGATCTAAAAAGTGTCGTCCAAACAGTTCAATGAAATGGCAGACCAACATGTGTCCCAAATGGAATCCCAAATTCCCCACACAGCTTGGGAAATTATAACTGTGCCACTCCTAGCTGTTACATCAGTTATTTTGTTTTTTAAGAAAATCGTCACATGTTAGTCCCCCCCCCCCCCCCCCCCCCCCCCCCAAAAAAAAAATTAATTAAAGGCAGAATGAAAATCATTTTCATGCTTTAATTTCGGCTGGTTTTTTTTTTTTTTTTTTCAATACTTCGATTTGTGATCTCTCGATTGGCTTTATTCGTTCTCATCACGTTTCTTTTATTTAAGAATGTTCGCTATTTCCTTTCTTCTGCTCCCATCCTGTTCAACTGTTTTTGTTTTTCTTTCGCTATTTCCTTTTCTCTGTTCTTTGTTTTAAAAAAAAAAAAACATAAAATAAAGCACAAAAACTGAAAAAAAAATGCAAATGAAATATTGCCAGGAATATTTCAGTTGGATTTACTCAGTTTTGTGACGTTCGTGGCAGAACTTTGATAACCAGGTAAAGCACACCAGGCAATCTTTATCGCACTTTAAAGGTTTCTATTTGAATCCCCCTGGTATGTTTTCCCTCTGTAATGTGGGTAACCAGCTTTCTCTTTTATAAATGTCCTTAAAATATCTCTATTAATCCACTTCTTTGTAATCATACAGTTACACTTATATAATAATTTTATTACAAATGTATTAAGTAACAACAAAATGTAAGAGTTGTTCTCTCTCTTGAAAACAAAATGTAAGAGTTGTTCCATCTTACAAGGCTGTTCTTAAATGGTACTGTCGCCTTTTTCTGAACTCGGATGCTCAATGCTGATTGTAGTTTTTGCGGGCGGTGGCGATGAGGTGGCAGCTCCGATTTTTCTCTTTATTGGAGCTTCAGCACTGGGTTCCTCAACCGATGATGGGTCGCTGAACATGTACGGCTGCAGAATACATCAAGTGTCAGTTATTTCAAATGATACCACGGGGTACAAAAAGTTAAAGTTGGGTACTTTATTTGCAGCCGACCACAAATAACGTCACGCGACAGGCCAGTATTTTAGAGGGTGGTAAGAGCTTTTGTGCTTTAGCGCGGTTCTTCGAAGGCCAAGGTTTTTACGTGTTAACCTAACCCTAACTCTAACCTAACACTAATGCTTTCTCTAACCCTAACACTAACCTTACCCTAACTCTAACCCTGATCTTAACAGTAACACTAACCGAACCCTAACCTAACCAAATCTATGCGCCTAATTGACCACCCTCTGAAATATAAGACTGTCCTGTGACCTGTGGATTTGCCGTGTTTGTGGTCGGCTAATAAGAAAGTGCTTTAGGTTCTCCTTCTGCAATTACCACCCACCTGCTAACTGGGTCTCCCAACTCAGAGAGTGAATGGGTAGGAACGGAATCCCGTGGACCGTTTTGGAAGGGTCAAAATTGTGGGTGGGGGCGAGAATAGAGAAAAAGAAGACAACGAGTGTGAGAAGAAGCCTATTAAATAGTTGCAATATAACTACAGGGCTCAATAGAGGGAAAGCTGGGAAGGGAAAGATCAAGAAAGACCTAGATACAGAGCTTGACTAACTAGGCAGGGCTTTTGTTTGCAATACTAAAGTCCATCGCATCTGACTGTCAAAGGTCAGACCGTCAACAGGAACTGGTGACCCAACAACACGCAGTTTACGGGATGATGATGATGATGATGATGATTGGAGCAATGGTCCTACAATCTCAAGCTCTAATTGTGTGGGCAATTTTCTGCTTTTGCAAAACTTCTTAACGTGAGAAGACGTTGCTAGCGACACTCTCCACGCCATGGGCTGATATTCTCACACCCCCACCCCCTTTCCCTCCTTTTTTATCAGCACAAGATAACATTATCGTCTTGAATGTTGAATTAGAAATCGACGTCATAGCACTCAGGACACCCCATAAGCAGCAAACGAAGTTTTCTAGTTCCGATGACATCAGCACCTGTCTGATTGTATATCCGTCTTGCCCTTCCTCTTGGTGTTGAACGTCGGCCAGATCCTCTGGTAACTCCTCGCAGCGCCATTCTCCTCAGATGATCTCTTTGCGCTTCCGCACTGCTCACTCGCTCCCAGACGGCACTAACAACGTCTAGCCTGTCATAAATCAGTTCATCACCAAGTGGTGCAACCGGCCAGTCTAACTGCCTGTTCATTTCCCAACACATCGGCTTGACTTGAAGAGAATATCTAAAGGATACTAACTACCCGGGACCTCTGAAGTGATGCTTGCCACTCTGCACGAAACATGCTTGTTTTCACCATTCTCAACATGCTCCGTGAGTCAACGAATATCAAGGCATGTGTGTACAGGTGATTCTCAATCCAGCGGAAGGCAGCAGTGACTGCCTCCACCTCTATTCTCAAACTAGAAGTTGCGATATCAGATGCCAGGCTCTGTAGCACTCAATATCGTCTGGATAGACGGCAAGTTAACAACGTAAAAATAATAGATGAATTTAGACAAACAATTGGAGGTAGATCTTCTGCTACTTCTTCCTCGCGTTCACCGGCTGTAAGCCCTGGTAGTTAATTATGGAGGTTCGCTCACTTTTGAACTTTGGTCTTGATCTGGAACTCGAGTTTTGCCTGCACTCTTTTTTAAATATGTAGGTTCCTCGCCAATAAGGCAGATGCACTCGGATTTTAAAAGAACCTCCCCAACTCCACAACTGGTCGCCTTTTACTACATGCTTGTTTGTAACAGTGGATCTATTGTCTCTTCCCCCACCAATGGAGCCCCACAAGAAACATGTGGATGCAGTTAGATAAGGGAAAAACACAATCTGGTCATAAAATGTCGTTCCTCTTGCAAAATCTACCTGTTTTTATTATATTGTCAAACTAGTTCTTGACAGTTACCGTCGGTTTTTGGGCTTTCTTTCCATACATCGTTTCGAATTTAAATTACGGGGACATAATTTCTTTCTTTCTGTCTTTCTTTCTGTCTTTCTTTATTTCTGTCTGTCTGTCTGTCTGTCTGTCTGTCTGTCTGTCTGTCTGTCTGTTTGTCTGTCTGTCTGTCTGTCTGTCTGTCTGTCTGTCTGTCTGTCTGTCTGTCTGTCTGTCTGTCTGTCTGTCTGTCTGTCTGTCTGTCTGTCTGTCTGTCTGTCTGTCTGTCTGTCTGTCTGTCTGTCTGTCTGTCTGTCTGTCTGTCTTTCTGTCTTTCTTTCTTTCTTTCCTTTTTTTCGTTCTTTCTTTCTTTCTTTCTTTCTTTCTTTCTTTCTTTCTTTCTTTCTTTCTTTCTTTCTTTCTTTCTTTCTTTCTTTCTTTCTTTCTTTCTTTCTTTCTTTCTTTCTTTCTTTCTTTCTTTCTTTCTTTCTTTCTTTCTTTCTTTCTTTCTTTCTTTCTTTCTTTCTTTCTTTCTTTCTTTTTTTTTTCTTTCTTTCTTTCTTTCTTTCTTTCTTTCTTTCTTTCTTTCTTTCTTTCTTTCTTTCTTTCTTTCTTTCTTTCTTCCATTTTTTCGTTTTGTCTGTGTGACTGACCTTCTTTTTTTTGGTTCTGTTTTTTCTTTCTTTCTCTTCTGTTTTTATTTCTTTCTTTCTGACGGCCTATCAAATTTTTTCACTCTAATTATGTTAATTAATTAATTAATTAATTGTTTCCTTCAAATTTTATCTTTTCTTTCTTTCTTTCTTTCTTTCTTTCTTTCTTTCTTTCTTTCTTTCTTTCTTTCTTTCTTTCTTTCTTTCTTTCTTTCTTTCTTTCTTTCTTTCTTTCTTTCTTTCTTTCTTTCTTTCTTTTCTTTCTTTCTTTCTTTTCTTTCTTTCTTTCTTTCTTTCTTTCTTTCTTTCTTTCTTTCTTTCTTTCTTTCTTTCTTTCTTTCTTTCTTTCTTTCTTTCTTTCTTTCTTTCTTTCTTTCTTTCTTTTCTTTCTTTCTTTCTTTCTTTCTTTCTTTCTTTCTTTCTTTCTTTCTTTCTTTCTTTCTGTGTGTCTTTCTTTCTTTCTTTCTTTCTTTCTTTCTTTCTTTTCTTTCTTTCTTTCTTTCTTTCTTTCTTTCTTTCTTTCTTTCTTTCTTTCTTTCTTTCTTTCTTTCTTTCTTTCTTTCTTTCTTTCTTTTTTTTTTCTTTTTTTCTTTCTTTCTTTCTTTCTTTTTCTTTCTTTCTTTCTTTCTTTCTTTCTTTCTTTCTTTCTTTCTTTCTTTCTTTCTTTCTTTCTTTCTTTCTTTCTTTCTTTCTTTCTTTCTTTCTTTTGTTCTTCCTTTCTTTCTTCACTTATTTCTCATTTCCTTAAAAATTTTTTTCTTTTATTATGTTAATTCATGAATTCATTTTTTCTTTCGAAATAAATTATTTCTCTTTTTATCTTTCTTTCTTTCTTTCTTGTTTTCTTTTCTTCTATCATTTTTTTTTCCTAATTTCATTGTTGCAATTTGTTTCTTAATTTCTTTGTTGCAGTTTGTTTCTTAATTTCTTTGTTGCAATTTGTTTCTGAATTTCTTTGTTGCAGTTTGTTTCTTAATTTCTTTGTTGCAGTTTGTTTCTTAATTTCTTTGTTGCAGTTTGTTTATTAATTTCTTTGTTGCAATTTGTTCCCTAATTTCTTTGTTGCAGTTTGTTCCCTAATTTCTTTGTTACAGTTTGTTCCCTAATTTCTTTGTTGCAATTTGTTTCTTAATTTCTTGGCTACAAGTAGCGGCAATAACTCATCTCCTAGCCAGGTACAACACAGAGAGTTATGTTAAAACAAAAAAGACACTTACCCCGGCGGTTCCGTAGAGAGGGTTGTGGAACCCGCCCTCGGAGACATCAAATGTCGGCTGCTCCTCCAGAGATGTCCCAATGAGTTCCATTTCCTTCATGTGATACTGAAAACGTAGAGACATTACCTCCGAATGTTAATTTTCTGGAAAACATTTTAGTGTGGTACTTAAACCAGCGCAGCCATCTGCACGGGCTTCAGTTTACTTTTCACCATCATCATCGTCATCATCATCATTATCATCATCATCAGCATCATCATCATGTGACATGCCGGTAAGAGTAGTCTGCGATATTTCAATATCACACACGATCACCAGAATCACGAATCAGTCCAATGTTTTTATGTCGCCCCATCCAGCTGGCCAAACCATCCAGGTATTCATCTCTTTTCCTCCCTCTTGCTCTCTTTCCATGAATCTTGCCGGTTGTTACCAAGTTCATTTTTGGCCATTCGTGATAAAAAAAACACCCGTCCGTGTGGTGAAGGCGCGCTCATGCGAAGCAAAGAACAGTAATATAGCATTCTACCAGGCATGTCGTAGGAGGCGACTAAGGGTAGGATTGGGCTTGGGGTTGGCTACCTCGTCCTGTAAAAAAAAGTAGCCACACACACACACACACAAAATGACAATTACCGCCTTTGTAATACCACTTTTGCGGTGTAGGTGGTTAGATAAGGGACAAACACAATCTGGGCGTAAAATGTGTTTGTTTTTCTGTCGTTCTTCTGGCAATATCTACCGGCTATCCTCCGAATAACGGGCACAAAATATGGCGGCCCCAAAAACACCCTAACAGAGCCTCAGTCACTTGTCAATCGCGCACACGGCGACTTAATTTGCGGTTTTCAGGCGACTACCGCCACCGCCGAGGAGTATCCCCCACGCCGCTCACGCAGCGTGGATTGGGGCTAAACTAGATGGCTGGGACTCACGAGCAGAAGCTTCCGCATCTCCTGCAGCTTTGCTCGTGAGTCCCAGCCATCTAGTTTGAAGAAAAGACTCTGGTGTTGAATAGGACACACGTTGAGAACACCTGAGAACAATGTAAGTAGAATGTCTTTGCACTAGAACTCACAGGGGCATAGAAATAAAAGCAGACCAAAACACACAGAGACGTCAGCTTGAAAGGGAAGTTAAAACATAGAGAGGACAAGCAGTGAGCTGCATGTGATATACTTGTTGATAGCGACATTGGTGTCGTGGCTAGACGCACGCCTGCGGATCGGAAGGTCGAAGATTCGAATTCAAACTGAGCCGGACTTATTCATTTTTACAAACTGACTCCCAGCCTTAAGTGGATAGCAGGAAAATTCCTTGGAAATAAAGGCGACCGGCGTGACGTTGACCATGTTATCCCCTCAGTGCCGACTGGTGTATACAATATAGTTCTTGGGTTTAGGTTTGTACAACGATTCAACATCCTGGCACAAGGGTAGTAATTCATAAGTGCCACTTTGAACTCAAACAGGAGATGAAGAATCTCAGCGCATTGCATGAACTCTGTTGCACTCGCGAAGATGCCGAAATACTTTAGGTAGATTTTTAACTTAAAACGTGGACAATTGGTGCGTTTGCCAAAAAACTGACCGGACAGCTGGAAAACACACCTAACAACGGGATTGTGACAATGAAATCGGGACTTACGGTCTTCTTCCCAGAGTCCATGCCGTGTGGTATTGGTAGAGACGTCTATCCACAAGGATATATTGCGGCTTTCGGCAACAGCCAGAGTGGGGCTTCCAAATAATGAAAAATTGTATTCCACTAGGGGATGACGAAAGCAATTATTGTCTGCGCATTTACCATGTTTCACATTTACATAACAACAAAAGTTCTACATAGCGCTTTGAGATGATTGTATTATTATCTTTACGTCCCTTTTAGGGTGAAATTTTTGGTTATTTGAAGCCCCACCCTAGCTTTTTCCAGGGGCCGCAATGTGGGCAGGCCATAAATATGGCCAATTGTCTGAACGCGGTTTCTGGGACCTCTCCACTGTGATCCTCATCCACATGGTGGCACTTTGTGTCATCGGCTGTTTATCGCTTGTGTGATGTCCTGGTGGGGTAGAAAGTCAGTCAGTCAGTCATAGCGCTTTGACATTCTCTTTTTGGTAGACTCTTGTTGCTAATACGTAAAATAGAGAAGAACTCTCTTTCAGGCCTTTGGGCGAATTGGTCATATAGGACTAGACCTTTATTTTATAGACCAATCTTATAGACCTAAAAATCTTCCGACAGCTTCTGAGTTGAATGCATAGCGTGACACTGTGAGCTGCGGATTGCATTTGGAATGTATTTTCGACTGTGACCAACGTGGTGGTGCAAATTGTAGATTCAGAAAATGGCGTGATGCCTGTCGTGCAATGTTGGCGGTGCCCGTATCTGGGTAAAACTGATCGCGTGGACAACTGCTGAACTGTTGGCGACAAGTTCTGCTATCATCAATGATGAACTGCATTTCTAATGTTGGACTGTTTGTGTTAGAACTTCAGATGGCTACCGTATGCTTTAATGCGAGTGTATGCTAGATATGCTGAGACAGCAGTCTGTCAATCTTTCCACAAGGTACTGTGATAAACATTCTGGGTGTTTTTCGTTGGCACAGGAGCGGAGCAAAGATGGGGCGACCCGTTGCTATGAAGCTGAAACTAAGACTACCAGACTACCAGACTACCAGACTACCAGACTACCAGACTACCAGACTACCAGACTACCAGACTACCAGACTACCAGACTACCAGACTACCAGACTACCAGACTACCAGACTACCAGACTACCAGACCAATCCTAACTTGATAGGTGTTTCCTTTTTCTGTTTTCCCTTCTGTCATTTTCTCTCCATTTGATATTATCTTGATACTTAGAGACTAGTCCTTACAAGGACTTTTATATGATTTTGACTTTCATTCCATTCTCTTATTTCTGTTTCTGTTCTCGCCATTACATTGACTTGACTTTCTACCCCACCAGGACATCACACAAGCGATAAACACCCGATGACACAAAGTGCCACCATGTGGATGAGGATCACCGTGGAGAGGTCCCAGAAACCGCGTTCAGACAATTGGCCATATTTATAGCCTGCCTATATTGCGGCCTCTGGCAAAAGCCAGAGTGGGGCTTCAAATAACAAAAAATTACGTCCTTAAAAGGATGTAAGGAATATGGTCATTACATTGCATCTTGCTCACTCTTATACCTATCGCTGAGGGACATTTGTACAAGAGACTTCTTATTAACGGGACCAAACCCAGTAAATCACTAGACTAAGTCATGTGTGTGTTATTTCCCTTTTATTAATTTAGGGATATATTCAACGGATCAACATCATGGCACACGGGTGTAAACCCAGCAGTGCTCCGTTTTACTTTCAACTCAGATCTGAGTCTGAAGTATTTCAGCACAGTGCACGAGCTCCATACCCCTGATATACTTTAGGTACATTTTAGGCAATTATTTACCTTTCAACGTTTCGAGTAAAAAAATTTTTTAGGCAGACGATGTATTAATTGTCACTCATAGAAAGAAGTAGACAGGTATATATATATATATATATATATATATATATATATATATATATATATATATATATATATATATATATATATATATATAGAGAGAGAGAGAGAGAGAGAGAGACGATGCATTGATTGGCACTCATAGAAAGAAGTAGAAAGATAGAAGGACACACCTGTCTACTTCTTTCGGGTGCAGTAAAGTCGATCCTCTCTACTTCAACATTTTTAACCTGATTTCTGTACCCGGGCTGATTCCTAGATTTTAATAACCGGGACAATTGGTGCTTTGTCGAGAACTGGCCGGACAGCTGGAACACAGCTAACAACAGGACTGTCCCAGTGAAAACGGGACTTATAGTCGCCCTTCTTCTTCTTAGAGTCTATGCCCTGTGGCATTGGTAGTCGTGTCTATCCACAACCTTCTGTCTCGTTTACATTCAATCAACTCTGACACAGATGATCCTCCATGCCATGATATCAAACTGTCCAGCATCTGTTCTCTCGGTCTCCCTCTGCCTCTCCTCCCCTCCAACTTTCCTACTGTCACAATATACTCCAGTTTCTTCTTCTCATCACATGATCAAAGAGTGTATATTGTCTCTTTCTGAAGACTACTGTCTTGACATCGACCCGGCTGCCAGGAGATACGAAGATAAGTGATATTGTGTATTTGTGTAGTATTGTCTATTCTATGTCTGTGCTGAAAAAGGCTCCATAGCCGCAACTTTCCCGTTTTGTTTGTGTTTGTTATAAGGTGATATACTTTTCGTTCGGTTTTATATCTTTCTAATGTAGGCAATCATTTCTCTTTGTGAGTCAGCCCTACAACAAATTAAAGAATAGTTACAACAGTCGAATATACAACTCTTACGTTTCCGTCATCGAAAGGTGACGTGTCGTAGAGAGGATTGGCAAAGCCGGGATCCACGTGGGGTGCCGTGTGTGGTTGAGAAAGGCCAGGAGATGGACCGGCTCTCAACCTGGGTCCCCATCGAGGTAAGCTGGGCATGGTAGGCATAGCTGGGAGATGGATACTGGGCATCTTGATCACAGGCAGCTCCCGTCTGTGGACATTGAGGGTGTCGTTCTATTAACAATGTATACATTTCAAAACATTTCTTGATACCATATTTATGTTTTATTCAACGAATCAACATCATGGCCACAGTTGCAACCCATAAGTACTTCGTTCTACTTCTAACTCAAGGATGAGTCTAAAAAATATCAGTGCAGTGCACAAACTCCGTTGCACCGGCGAGGAACCTGGACTACTTCGGGTAGATTTTTAACTCCAAATTTTGCCCGGGCTGCAAAGTCCAAGTGCCAAGGTATTTTTTTTGCATGCGCAACAATACACACGGGCGTCCGATTTTACTAGCCAGAGACCAAGGGAAATTACTAGAAGTCCATGTGAAAAAATTGCAGCTTCACCGGGACTTGAACCCGGGACCACCAGCACTCGAGACGGACGCCATGCCCGGAGACCACACATCGTATCATAATTTTACTTTATGTTTAAAACAATTGTACATGACTTTGTAAGTGCCCTTTAAATTTCTTAGAAGCATAATATGCAGTAAAAACAAAAACTTTTATATAGAACTACTGATTATTCACTGTTTGCCAACGGGTCTAAAAAATATAGCTCTAACCTTATATGCCCAATTACTTTCCATTACTTTTGCTTTAATATTCATAGGTAATGAGGACTGTAAAGCTTTCTACATAATTGAAAATCATTACTTTGGGAAGTCTCATGCCCCTTCCTTAAATTGGGAAAGGGGTGGAGGGCGCCCAAACATCCTGAGGCCCCATGTAAAGGTGAACGTTTTCCTGGGAATGAAAGCAGAACCAATAAATTAACAGCCAAGCGCCCACACTTTGCGCGTCAGTCCTGAGTTTAATGGAGTAAGTGAAGAGCAGGAAAAGGTAGGACAAACTTACCCGGTTCTTCTGAAGATGAAAACGACAACAACGATGATAACAACAATGATGACAGCGATGACTCCCACGACAATTCCAGCGATAGATCCTGACGTCATCGGCTCCGCTGTTCAAATGGATAAACAAGAAAATATTTCATGGAATCCTACTATTAAGACACTCCTTCCTCTCCTCGGTTTTTTTCCATTTCCTTTTTCCACTTCCGATATCAAGGAATATAAAATGTTCGGCTGTATGCGTTTCTGACAGTCTCTTGTATGGACCATCGTGCTGTTTTAAAGTTTCTCTGATGTTATCTTTCAATGTTGTTCTTGGTCTACCTCGTTCTCTACATCACTCTCCTCTTTTGGCGTGTAGCTTATGAGGTATGTTGTCACGGGGCCTTTTTTTTTTTCCTTATTCTAACTTTACAACCATTTTATTTGAAACTTTGCACTGAATTTAATCATGGTTCTTCCCCGTGTGGGTTCTGGGGCCCCATTGTGGGGGCACACAAAAGAAATGGCCCACTGCTCCCCCTCCCGCCAACAAGCATATCGTAAAGATCGACTAATAAGGGTTCTTTCTGCATCTGTCTGAGACGAGGAACCGACAGTCTGCGCACAGATCTGTAAACTGTATGTGCAAACGCAACTCAAATTCTGGAACGAATGTTGAATTAAGAATCGACATCAAAACCCTCGGGACACTTTCCTAGGTGCTCAGTCCCCATCTTCAGCAGCATGCGAAAAGTTCCAATTCTGATGGCACCAGTAACCGTCTGATTGTATATCCGTCTCATCCTTCCTCTGAGTGTTGAGCGTCGGCCAGATTCCCTGGTAACTCCTCCCAGCGCCATTCTCAGACCGTAATGATATATTTGCGCCTCCGCGCTTGTCATACATCAATTCACCCCCAAGTGGTGCATAGCCAGCCTGTCTATCTGCCTGCTCATTTCCTAACACACCGGCATCACCTGGAGACATTCTGGAACAAGACTACATTTCACGAACACCCAGAACCAATCGCTGGAGTTTACAGCTGGCGACCGCGAAGAAGAAGAAGAACGTATTTTCTCTTATGGCTTCATTTCTGATTTTAATTACACTATCATTTGTTGGTACTTTATTAATATCCTAGCCCCGATGCCGTCACACGAGAGTCAAATTGAGTTTCATGGCTATCTAATACCTTTAACGACCCCAAAACATCTAGAACTGGCCCTAACCCCAACCCACCTGCGTCACACGAGAGAGTGCAGCCTAGGTCCCACGACTGCATGCAGCTTATCTACCACCCCCTGAAATATTAGACTGTCCCGTGACCTGTGGATTTCCCCTGTGAGGGGTAGGATATTAATAAAGCACCCACTTCTTTTAGTGAACAGTGCGGAGGCACAATGGGTCTTCGCGGTCTGAGGAGAATGGTGCTGCCAGAAATGACTAGTGGATCTAGCAAAGGCTCAACGCTCAAGGCGAGACGGATATACAGACTGTTACTGGTACGTCTGAACTGGAACTCTGCGCTTGCTGCTGAAGGTGGAGACGGAGCGCTTATGTGAATGTTCCCAGTGCTATGAAGTCGATTCTTAATTAAACATGTAGGGCACGCTCCTGCCTGAACGCCGTACAACACTACTAGACTAGACCGTGTGACGTAACCACCAGTGTTCATCAACTTGTTTGAAGTTTGAACAACGGATCAACATCATGGCACACAGGTAGTAACCCATAAGTGCTCCGTTATTTTTCTAACTCAAGTCTGAGTCTAAAGAAGCTTAGCACAGTGCACAGGCTCTGTAGCCCCGGCGAGGATCCTGAAATACTTTGGGTAGATTTTTAACCCAGAGACTAGGGAGAATTACTAAAAGTCCAAGTCCACGTAAAAAAAAAAAAAACAACAACAACCCAGCCCTTACCGGGGATTAAACCCGGAACCTCTAGCACTCGAGGCGGACACCATGCCTCGCGACCACGCAGCCCCCTCCTCAACTTGTTTTTTACACCCGCCAAGCGCAAAAAAACAAAAGAAATTGTGCCCACCCGACAGCAAATAAAACTAAACAACATTGATCCGCGCGTCGCCACACTCACTTTGCCGGAATCATAAAGCCCAGTGTTTCCCAAACTGTTCTAGGTCGCGGCGGCTTTCTTTAATTAAAACCTTTGCATGGCGCTCCTACCTAAGTAAAAGTATGAATATTCGTGTCTTGGTTAAATTAGTCATGAAGCTTTCACAATATATCGCGGCGCCCCTTTGAAGCGGTCGCGGCTCCCCAGGGCGCCTCGGCACACAGTTTGGGAAACACTGATATAGCCACAAGAGGGGTTATTGTCCTTGTTCCCAGCCCATACGGGTCTTCGGGTCATGTCACCGTCTGGTGCCATAATATATTAACAGGGGGTTGAACTGATTTTCTGTGATTTCTACCTGTTTGATTCTCATCCTTGAAGTGGTAAATCCTACACTCTGCAATAGTGGAAGAGGCAAACTGCATACCCTAACCTGTCACATGATAAGGCAGCCATTTCTGGCGGCCTACTTAGACTTTCCCACGGGTCACCGGTTGAAAAACACCGCTGCAAACTACGCTGAATACTTGGGTGGATGCAAAAACACTGAAACCGGCAGCGACTAATTTTTGAGGGAGGGAGGCATCAACATACATGTCGTAAAAAAGCGACTAATCAGCAGATCGTTGAAATGGAATGTGTCAAAGGTACCTACTGGCTGGTCAGTTGAGGTCAGTGGTGGTGGTCAATGTATATGATGCTAGACTGTGAAGAAGGAACCTAGAAGACAATCTTACCCCTCTGTGCTGAGTGTGCCGGCTCTGATGTGTCCGTGGCAAAGGAAAGACGAACCGCATCAATGGCGTACGTGTGACCTCCACTTGCCAGGTCTGCAATCAATGGAACAAATTATTATCTTGATGAATTAACATTAACATTTAAGCTAACATGAAAACAGTTTCATGTCTGGAGTCAGTGGAACAAATTAATATTTTTATGAATTAACGTTAACATTTAAGCTAACATGAAAACACGAGTTTCATGTCTGGAATAAATGGAACAAATTATTTTCTTGATAAATTAACGTTAACATTTAATCCAACATGAAAATAGTTCCATGTCTGGAGTCGGTTGAACAAATTAATGCAATGTTGATTTAACGTTAACATTTAATCTAACATGAAAACAGTTCCATGTCTGGAGTCAGTGAAACAAATTATTACTTTGATGAACTAAAGTTAAAATTTAAGCTAACAGAGAGAGAGAGAGAGAGAGAGAGAGAGAGAGAGAGAGAGAGAGAGAGAGAGAGAGAGAGAGAGAGAGAGAGAGAGAGGGAGAGAGAGGTACAAAGGGATACATAGATGTACAGAGAAACAGAAAGACATAGAGGGGTCCAGAGAAACAGAAAGACACAGAGAGGTACAGAGAAACAAAAAGAACATAAAGGTACACAAAAACAGATGAGATAAGTAGATATAAATTCATACCGTTGTTAAATTCAGTCTGCAGTAATTTGGCTAAACTAGAACTCTTCTCTCCCGTGACATCATTAAGAGCAACTTGTACCCAGCCCTCGCTTGTCAGCGAAAACGTCACGTTGACTCCATCTTGTGTCCTAGAAGAACAAATGAAAACATTCAATAACTTAACCAAGTCTTGCAACACCCGGCTTTTCCAACAGAGATAACATAGTTGCTCCGCTCCAACGAAAACCCACAAAGCATATCCATCATTGTCCTCTGTGGAACAAAAAAATTATCACAGGCTGAAGTCTTAGTGAATTTAACAGCAGATACACTCAATTTATGTAAAGGCAGCCGTCAGAATTGCCAACACAAACACTCTGACACTAGAAGTGCAGTTCATGGCCAATGAAAGCAGCAGTAACACCAAATCAGTAATTGCACACGCAGACTAAGCAGCTATAATCGTTCACATCTCCTTAGATGACATCGAATTTTACATTCTTCTGCCGGTTGACTGCTTGACTGACTGACTGACTTACTGACTGGCCGACTGACTGGCTGACTGACTGATTGACTGGCCGACTGACTAGCTGGCTGACTGACTGACTGGCTGACTGACTGACTGACTGGCTGACTGACTGACTGACTGACTGACTGACTGCTTGACTGACTGACTGACTTACTGACTGGCCGACTGACTGGCTGACTGACTGATTGACTGGCCGACTGACTAGCTGGCTGACTGACTGACTGACTGACTGACTGACTGACTGGCTGACTGACTGACTGACTGACTGACTGCTTGACTGACTGACTGACTTACTGACTGGCCGACTGACTGGCTGACTGACTGATTGACTGGCCGACTGACTAGCTGGCTGACTGACTGGCTGACTGACTGACTGGCTGACTGACTGACTGACTGACTGACTGACTGACTGACTGTCTGAGGATTGTTCATCTGTTCACTGTACATTTCAAGATCATTGTCATTGCATGTCGAAAGTTTAAAGTTTTATACCGAGTTTGCACTGACGACTCCTGTACTGTACTTTTTACCAGCCCCCGCTAGCTCTTGCACAGCTCTCACATCAAGCTGCTTCAGAGCGTAGACTGACGGACTAACTATAGTCAGTTCCAAAAGTTATGCCCACAAACTAACAAATATCTCGAAAACTCCTGAACGGATCAACACGAACTGTTTCATGTGGTCTTAAATTTTCCATATCCTTCTGATTTGAGCAATACACAGGTGCTATTGTTTTCTTAAAGCGGGCGATTTCTTTGATGTCTGTCAGATTATTAATTTATCTACCCCTAAAAAGAGTATACACAGTAACTGACACAAATCTTTCAGTTTAAATCACGACATGAAAATTGTTTTGGAAATCATTTTACATGTTCAGCGATGCGTGGTGATTATTGTCACTGCCTATCCCGCATACAAGGAAATATTGTGCTCATCTGATAATTCATGGAAAGGTAATGCAGCAAACTGACCAACTGAGCTGCTACCTCAGTACGTGACTCCGCTGTGACTCAAAGAGCTCTAGGCATACCCTATTCAACCTTTCTCCTCCACTCCCCCCCCCCCCCCATCCCACCTCAAATGATATCTAAGGTATCCTTAACAGCGTTGTGAGCCTTAGCGAAGTAGTGGTTATATCATCGAACCGAAAGTATTGGGCACGAATCCGCAGTTAGTGGGTTTGAATAACAAACAACCCTGACTCCCAGCTCGACGCAGACTAAAATGGGTACCAGGTAATATCATGGGAAGTAAAGGCAGCAGGTGTAATGATGACCGCATTTCCCATAAAGTGCTGACGCTCACAGTGTCCTTTCATCATCCTCATCCATCATCATCATCATCATCATCATCATCATCATATCATCATCATCATCATCCTCCTCGTCATTATCATCAGTCAGCAGGTCTTTTACAGAACGTCCCTTATGGCACGCTGGAAAGTTCATCTTTCTCCAGCCCAATGTGCTTTCGCAGCCAATGCGTCTTCAATGTCTTCTATCCATCTTCGCGAAGGTCTTTCTCCGCCTCGTGTTCCATAAACTGTACCCTCCATCACCCTTCCCTCGAGACCATCAGAATCAATATCCCATCTTTCGGATGCTGTTTATGAGCCAATTCTCCTCAATACCCAGATCATGAAGGCTGTCGGCGTTTGTCTCATTACTTAACTTACTAATCGTGACCCGTCTTAGACAGCGGGATGTGCTGTGTTAGTTCTTGGTAGTACCAGCCAGCCAGACAGACAGACAGACAGGCAGACAGGCAGGCAGGCAGGCAGGCAGGCAGGCAGGCAGGCAGGCAGGCAGGCAGGCAGGCAGGCAGACAGACAGACAGACAGACAGACAGACAGACAGACAGACACACAC